AACAGACAGACAAAACGGCACAGAATTATAGAGATCCTTCAAGATCCCTTCCAGCCCTATTGTTCTATGAGTCTCTGATTTTGTTTTGTACTCCTTTTCAATTCCGGGGAGGGGGAGGGGCTTTTTGGGAGAGGTGTTGTGTGTGTTCTCTATGAACCTGTTTATGCCTGACCCACTCCCACATATGACTTCTGTAGAATTACTGTCTTAAAGTCCGAGGTAACATCCATTATAATTATAACTTAATCAAGTATTCCTAAACTTGGGCAAAGGGTCCTCACTGAGGAGTTCTGACTGAGTAAGGACTGTGTGCCAGTATTAGTCTTCTAGAAAAGGATTGAACTGCATTTGAACCTGTCACCATTATTCTAATGACCTGGGGAGGGAATCATATGTTAGTGATTGGTAAAACATTAAATTGACATTCATATTGGATTTTACAGTATTTGTTTAGCTATGGGCCTTCTAAAATTTGGACTTGAGTGCCGAAAAGGTTCATTCTTTATATTCTAATCTCTTAAATTGCCAGCTGCCTGGAACATTGATTACATAAAGGGGATATTACATACTACACCGGAGGCAGGGAAGGACAGGATATTTTGAAAAAATTCAAAAATCACATATTGTGGATCCTTAATGCATTAGTTTCCTCAGTGTAATTCTGATTGCATTACAACCACAGCTATTTATTTATTGTTCACTCTGATGTATTAAAATACTTCGCACTTCTGCTTCTCTTTTTGATGTAAGAGCTATAGCAGTATGTGACAAACTTTTGAGAAAGTCAACATATGCTGCTCCCCATTATTTGAAAATATGCTTCTTCTAATTTGTATAGTAATGCTACAGTATTTCTTTATTTATGAAGGTAGAGAGATTGTCTTCCATCTTTCATTTTAAAAATAACTTTAGAAATAAAAAGTGACCACTATTTCTCTTCTAAAATGGTTCAGCCTATTAAGTTACCAACATGTGCACAATCTCACATTGATATGCGGTTTTTAGTTTATCTCTTTTTAGTGGGACTATCATGTAAATATATAATATAAAAGTGCACTTCATATTTAATACTTTATCAGATTGACAGTTGTTTTAATTAAATGTGTTCTGTGTTCTTGTATTTAGATACCAAAATACAGCATTTTACTAGATTTTATAAAATTGTGTTTGCATTTATTTAATGCAAGGTTCTTTTTTAAAGCATGTAGTCTTGAATGTTTGTTCTCCCTTTTTTTTTCACATCATTACTCTGATACTGCTTGATTAGCTCCCTCCCCAGTCATGATTGGTAATTAAAATAGGCATTAAAATTAGTCACTTAGCAATTTTGCTGTTCAATTGGCAATTAAATTACTTAATTGCAATTAAAGTCCTAATTTTAATTGGCAAAATGATAGATGTAGATTTAAGATAATATGTATAAATACTTTAATAAGTGTCTATATAAGGATTACTTAATTACTCAACTTCAAGTTTATGCTGTTAACTTTAGAACTTTTAAGTGAGAAATGAAATTTATATTCTATTCTAAGGATATGGTAATTAGATGTATTACTTATCACATCAGGATCTTTGCTATAAGTTACTTCTCTTAAAACTATGATGTGGGTTAACCATTGAAGTATGCACTATTCATTATATTACAAACTAGTTATGCTTTTAATTTTGTATTCAATGTGACTCATTCAAATGGTAGATTGGCCTACTGAAGTAGTATAAATTTAGTCTGCTGGGTGTGTGAGATTGAACTACAGAACTTCAGGTGAGAATAATTAAACTCTATATTTTACTTCAAGTTGGAATTTCCAACTATTTAATAGATATCTATTGAAATACAGGATGATTATAACATGTTGCAATTTGTTGGTTCTAAAAAGAGATTCTGAAGATGAAACTCAAATAGTATTGTACATATGAATTTTCACTAACTTTACTTGTGATCACTTTATCATAACACACAGTTTGTTAGATTAATTTAACAAATCTGTAGATAAGAACCTAAATCACATGATCTGAAACTTACTTGCATTATTTCCCTTTATTTCAGTGGGACTAGATATCTGAGTTAAAGCAAGCAGCTTAGGGGCCTCCTGTTTATATGTCAGGTGCCATATTTACAAAATAGAATATAAAATATTTTTAACTCTTAAATATCAAGCATTCTCAGTTTTAGACATAGTAAAATGGAATAATTACTGGTTGATGCAGATTGCATGATATCTACAAGTGCTTTTGGACGTGCGTGTTAATATTTTGAATGTGTTGGAATGCTCACTATTTCCATTTAAAACATTGTACCTTTCGGGGGTGTTTTAAAATATTTTTTCTGTAAAGTTCTTTTTGTTCAGTTTATTCTAAACTGATTATATTTGAATATAATCCTAAGGATATGTCTTTTTTTTCCCTAAATTGTTCTGTCTGGTTTTATTCTATTTACATTCATTGCAGAAGAATATAATAGTTTTCTATAAGATAGAAAAGATAATTACACTGCCAAATACTGTATGTAGATCCAAACTTGCCACTGGCTTAGATTGTTTCAGTGGAAAATCACTGACTTTTTTTTTTTTAAAATATACAGATATAATTGAAGCAGAGAATTCAATGTGGTGACACACGGCGGTTCTCAGAAGTCACATTCTCTCAAAAGTCTAGTATGTGGGATAAATGTTTATTATGAAACTATTGACAATGTCAAGCTAGCTCTCATTTTTCCCAACTCCACAAAAGCCTAATGCATCATTTCACTATTTAAAATGGTTGCTGTTTTGCCTTTTAAAATAGATTTGTAAGGTGATTTTAATGAAAATGTAGTGCTCTTATTTTCATTGTGTAACTTTTTACTCTGTAACTTTTTACTCTGTAAACTAAGTTTTTTTTTTTGCTTTTTCAGAATTCTGTTCCTTTATTGATCCCACTTAAGTCACTGGGAATCTTACTGTTGATATCAGTAAGGGTGATGTATGTACAATGCATCATATGTTTTTGGGATGAGGAAAATACTTATTTCATGAAAGCCTTTATTAACCATTGAATTAAAAGTTCCCTGGTTAAGATTTATTTTTTAAATTGTGATGTATTTTAAATGTATATACATATTATGTATAATGTACACAATAAAAATTTACAATTGAGTTACCTACATTGGTTCCTATTTTAGATTTTAACACAATGTTTAGTATTTTTTTAAATGCATATATATCTCAAGTCTTTTACTTATTTTCATGGTCAAATTTTCAGTTATCAAAGCAATATGACCACTATTATTATAAAAATGTTCCTTTTAAAAAGTTTTTAAAAGATGGCATAAACTGTGGATTTAGTGGAGGTTTTTAACTGCCTTCAGTCTATCCTTAAAAACACATCTGCTGTTTTTAAAAATCAAAGCTTTAAATTTTGCTTAAACACTGTAGAACTTTTTTATTCCTTTTAAAAGGAAAAAGGCTAATAATTTCCATTTTTTATTCCCCTTTGTATTTTTTCAAGATGATAGCATCAGTATTTAAGTTTCATTTCATTGCTATCTTTTTTTCAAGAACTGTATGAAGTCTTCCCATTTGATTACAAAGCTTTCTAAGGTTAGTTATTAGGATTTGGGCCTAAAAAGACCCCACTTTCTGTTGAACTGCCACATCCTGGGTCCTCTGTATAACAATTCTGAACACCTGGAGTCACTTTTAGTATGGAAAATGACTTATACAGCATATAGCCCATTGTTTTACTGTTTATACATATTCAATTCTGTATGTTTCTCTGTTCCTATATACATACATGCACAAAATCTACATTATCTACAGTTAGGCATGCTCTCAAGTTAACTTAGTATTTTAAAAATACGCCTTTTGGTTTTTCAAACCTGACGTATCTTTTTTGGCAGTAAAAAGCCACTATTTCACATGGCATGTATGTGGACAGAAACACTCTTTTTTCTTCTTAAGAGTTAGATTTCTCTCTATGCTGGGACAGACTCTAGCAATGATTTAAAGGTTTAAAGCAATACATAAGTTATCCTAATGGTTTCTATGCTGCTCTTTCAGATCTATATGTCATTCTGTACCAGGTGGGCAAAGTGGGTGAGGTACTATTGTTTATTGGACCAACTTCTGCTAGTGAGAGGCACAAGCATTTCAGCACACAGAGCTTCTCAGATACTTGTCTCTTACCGGCAGAAATTGGTCCAATAAACTTTACCTCGCCCACCTTGTCTCTCCAATATCCTATTTCCAATACAGCTACCACACCGCCACGCATGCTGTACTGATGGCAGTTTTGTATTGACTGACTGAAAAAGTGGAGCTGGTATCCAGATGACAGTAGCATACACCCTGTCTAGGGCTGCTAAATTACCCAGCCGCCCCGCCCCTAATGAGCTTTGCAGCAAGCCCCACAGCAAAGAGGGTTCCGCTGCCCCGGTGAGCTGAGTTTTAACAAGTATTTCCCGCTGTAAAGCCGGGAGCCCCCGGCCACGAGCCTTATCGCCTCTTGAGCTTCCGACCGGGGCTACTTAAAATAGGCTCCCGCCCACTCGCGGGCTATAAGCGGCTCCCCCGCTGCAATGGAGCAGGGAGCCGGCCAAGCAGCTGCTATTTTTGGCGCAGCCGGCTGGTTGCGTCAATAGCGGCGTCCCCTTGCGTCACGCGCCGCCCCGCCCCACTCTCACTTTTTCCCTTTCGTTCGCTGCAGCCCACGGGCGGCGGCTGACGCTGCTGCGCTCATGCTAATGAGCCCCCTCCCACCCGCCTGCCCGCCGCTCGCCAGGCCCGCAGCCGCCGCCGAGCTTAAGGTGGCTGCCGCTGGTTCTCGGGGCTCCGCGCGCTTGGAACGCCCGGGGCTATTTATAGCGCGGCCCAGCAGAGCTCCTGCAGTCTGGGCTGCTCCCCGCTGCAACGAGGGCGGCAGGGGTGCAGCGGGGCAAGCCCTTTCCCGCTGATGAGGCGCGAGCAGAGCTACCCCAAGGGAGCTGCTGTTCCGCGCCAGGGGTGTTAGGGTCTCCAAGGGTTTTAACCCCGGACAGAGATCAGATGCTGCAGTCGACAGGGGACCCGGGACAGATGCGGGGCCAGGCTTCTTCGGCGCTTGAAGACTGCTGGTGCAGCGACCGGCAAGGAGCTGGTCGGGGACCCCCGCTGTCCGCTCTACAGGGGTCATGCCCTGCGGGCAAAGGGAATCAAACATAAAGCACAAGTCACGCGCCCTTAGGTCTGGAGCACGCTTTGCTCCGGCAAGAGGGGAGTGGGGGGGCAGGTGCTGGTCTCTCTGACTGTTATTGTGTACGCACTAGTGTTTCTCTAGTCAGGAATTGATTCCTCCTTTCCGTGAGCCTGCTCCGAGCCTGTGTCCGGGGAGTGACATGCAAAGCAGAGACAGGGCTGTGAGACAGCTTTTAGGATCGCCCTGGCATGAGGACAGGGCACCCCACGTCACCCTGGCTCCGCGCTTTTTCTCACTAGAGCACAGAGGTATTGACAGCCAGGCTTTTACACGGCTCTAGTTGAAGTCTAGTCTAATACATATAACTCGTACAATCGGGCTCCTTATTTGCCGCGTATGGGAGGCGGTGCCCACTGCGGAAGGAACTTTCCTCCCAAAACAAATATTTATTTCCAGATGCCTTTAATTGGCACTTTGAAGTAGTGCAAGCGCCGAAATCATGCCTCGAGGTGTAAACCAACCCCCGATCGCCCACCCACCTTCCTGACAACTGGACCACTTGTTGCGTGAAGCTGTGTTGTTTTGAGAGCAGGGTGATCTCAAGGCACTGGCAGACTCCGACTTTGTACGGTGACGATTGCTCTGCTCCGCGTAATAAAACATTCTCTCAAACGTACCTTGAGACTGTGACTACGGTGCTTACAGGCGCTGCTGTTTGTTTTTTGAAGAAAGGGGGTTCCTCATTTTTAGCATGCAGCAAATGTCTCACAAGGAAGGGGAAATATCTGTATCTAGCAGTGCATACAAGTAGCTATGTCCGTATGCAAGAAAATTCCCCATACGGCACTGTGGTGTAGACACAACTTAACACACCCCACGCAGACTGAGCAACACACGCTATTACAGAGTCCGCCTGTGTGCAGAGAGATCCCGTAAGGTGTTTGACTCGGCGTGGGGGGCTCTAGTTCTTTGTTTACTGTCTTGCACATCTAGGGGGTGTACGTGCGGGGGAGGGGGGATCGCACCTATTTTGGAAAAGCTGTAACAAGGTGAACCGAGGGAGCTTGTTCCCACCTTAAAATCTGCACTCTTAGTGATGTCACGTCGGAAATTTACCAAAGCAAGAACTGGCCAACTGTGCAGAGAGATCCAGCCCCTCGAATGGCTGATTGGGCGGGCAGCACTGACGTGCACTGACGCTTGGAGACTTTAGGTGCATGTTGGCTGTGGAATACGGAGCCCACATAAACAAAGGCACATTGGAGGGAAGGGCCAGTCTGTCCGGCTTGCTCGCACTGAGCTTCAATAGTACTGTACTTCCCAACAGAGACTAATTAGCAAGTGCTCCGTCATCGGTTGCTTTATCCGCCGATCTGCCCCTGGGAAACTGTTGTTCAGACGGTTGAATGAATGAAAAAGACATTGCTAACAAGTGAGTATTTATTTTTGTAAATTTCGCCTATGTAATCTTGTATTTGATTTACAGCCATCTACTCTATGGACCCCTGTGTAGGGGGTGGGAGGGCAGGTGGGATTGGAGGCGTTGACATATTGTGTGTGTGTTTCAAATGCAGTCTTTCTCGGAACTGTGTTTCCAAAATGTCATTCAGTTAATTCATCACTCAGTGACCCTCTAATCCGATTCTGTATACTATGCTAACGTGAAATCAACTATGGGGCAAGAATCTGCCCCTGGCTTTCTGCTATAACTTTCACGCATTTGGGGGACTTAGCATATCAAAGTTATGGTGTTAAGGTAAACATGCTTAGCTGAGGCCTGAACTTGTACAGTTATATAGCAGGAGAAAAGTTCTTCAGCGTCTGTATTGCTTAGGAACAATTTTCTCTCCATCTCCATGGTTAGCAACTGGTGCTAGTGTTATAAGGCAGCGTAGAGTTCTTTGGTGTCCTATCACTTAGTTGCCTTTGATATTGCTGCCGTGCGCCTGTTACAAGCCTGTAGGGGGTGGCTTGTAAGGCTACCTGCAAGTTTCACCTGGCGTAGTTATTCTTTTCGGCGAGGATTCCACCTCGCCCCCCAACCTTGTACTGTAGTGACTTAGGGTACAGTGACCGTCAGCAAAGCGCACCGTGGTGCCAGGCATTAATTAGCAGAACACGGAAGGGAAAGGAGTGACTATTTGGATTAAGTGGAGTTGGAATGAAGATGCGGAGTCGCTGCCTGGGGTGTCAATGCAGTCTGGCGATTTTAGAGATGTTAGCGTGGTTTGTTTCACACGAGAGGGTAAATACTAAGTTTGTGGTGGTATAACTGGCAATATGTTCCATGTGCGAGGTCACACTATGAAGCAAATAGTGTTGGTAGGGTTAAAGACACACCTGCTCAAAGGAGCTGGGGAGGGTCTGTTATTTTTTCACATATCTCCTTTTAACTTTAATTATGCATACTTAGAAAACAACGAGAAAATATATTAGGCGGCGCTCATTTGTGGTTAATTAAGATTTCCCTGGGTCAGTGCATCCACTGGAAGCATTTTTTCGCCACTATTAACCAGGTTTCTTTAACCTGAAACTCCTCTGGCTTCTTGGACTGTCTAGTACCTTATTTAACGTGATTTATTGCCATTTATACCCCTTCCTAGAGCTGTCGTTAAAAGTCAGGTTGGATTGTAGTAATTTCAATGGAAATGCAAAACGTGGTTTCCCCCTTCTTATTCTTCAATAACTGGACTCGGTTGTTATTCGGGCAGGGGATATGTATATAAAACAAATCAATTTCTCCCCTATATGCAAATTGTAGAACACAAATAATTAAAGATTATAATGTGAATAACCTGCTTCCAGCAAGTTTTCTCCCCAGTAATAACTGTTTGGGGGAACTAACTCACATGCCGAAGTACCATAAGGAAAACCTGTCCTATTAGCTCTGCCTCGGTCTTAAACAGTTTTAAATCTTATGCCTTAATTAAAGGCCGCACGATGTCTCTTATTAAAACTGGCAAACTCTTGTGCTAGAGAAGCTCGTGGTTTTGTGACAATTTGTTTCAAATCAATCCTTAGCAAATATGAACATAGTCTATTGTGTCTGTTTCAGAGAACGCACGGGGCAGTCTGCGGTCCTCAGTGATTTTCTAAAACCTTGGAAACTTTGTCTCCATTGAATACCGACACTGTCCACCTTTAATTCCCTCGAAAACGCCTGTAACTCGGCTGAAGGTTTGTGAGCTTAATTTCTTTAATATTCAAAAGAAACAACTTCACACTGAAAGCCAAGTAACATAAGTAAGACACGTGCGTAGATGTGTGCCAAACAACTTCACATTGTGCAGCTCACTTCATCGTGTGTCTTTACAAATGAACTAGCTGCAATATCATTGTACACAGAAATAAAGCGACTGGTTCTCATTCTGTCTGTTTGTGGGGGACTGAAAGACATTTTGGGGGTACACCATGCACTTTAAACATTCACAAACATCAGCTCTCTATGTACTCTAGTGTAATCTCTCTTTTCCCCTGTGAATACGTGTTCTTTGCGCAATAAGAAGTGTGTGCGGCTTCCTAATGTGGCCCACGGTGTTGTAGAAAGCAGGTGTACAAAGCAGGGGAGAAAGTATGCAGTTGACCAGGCTGAGTATATATTACACTGTTTCATTTCCAGCCATGCCCTGTGTTCAGGCTCAGTATGGGTCATCGCCTCAAGGAGCCAGCCCAGCTTCCCAGAGCTACAGTTACCACTCTTCAGGAGAATACAGCTCCGATTTCTTAACTCCAGAGTTTGTCAAGTTTAGCATGGACCTCACCAACACTGAAATCACTGCCACCACTTCTCTCCCCAGCTTCAGTACCTTTATGGACAACTACAGCACAAGCTACGACGTGAAGCCACCTTGCTTGTACCAAATGCCCCTCTCCGGACAGCAGTCCTCTATTAAAGTGGAAGATATTCCGATGCACAGCTACCAGCAACACAACCACCTCCCCCCTCAGTCGGAGGAGATGATGCCTCACTCAGGCTCCGTTTACTACAAGCCTTCGTCGCCCCCGACTCCCACCACCCCCGGCTTCCAGGTGCAGCACAGCCCCATGTGGGACGACCCTGGCTCCCTCCACAACTTCCACCAGAATTACGTGGCCACCACCCACATGATCGAGCAGAGGAAAACCCCCGTGTCCAGGCTCTCCTTATTCTCTTTTAAGCAATCGCCCCCAGGGACCCCGGTGTCCAGCTGCCAGATGCGCTTTGACGGGCCCCTCCACGTGCCCATGAACCCCGAGCCATCCGGGGCCCACCACGTAGTAGATGGCCAGACATTTGCAGTGCCCAATCCCATCCGCAAACAGGCCTCCATGGGCTTCCCCGGGCTGCAGATCGGCCACGCTTCCCAGCTGCTGGACACCCAGGTGCCATCCCCTCCTGCCCGGGGGTCTCCATCCAACGAGGGCCTCTGTGCAGTGTGCGGGGACAACGCGGCTTGTCAGCACTATGGCGTGCGCACTTGCGAGGGCTGCAAAGGGTTCTTCAAGGTGAGCTGCAGGTGCTGAAGGAGGGGTGGGGACAAGGGGTTAATACACTAACGCCAAGAGGAGCCCCTTCTTGCGCGCGCCCACACAGATGCAAAGCAACAGCCTGGTCAAGGAGCAGGCTCTGCTCCCACGGGGAGGGAAGGGAGAGAGGGGTGGGCGGCAAACACAGAAGGGGCAAGCGGGACAGGAGGGCCAGGTTCTGCAAATAACAGCGCCTTGTGCTCCTCCGAGCCCGATGTAGTACTTGCACGTGGCAAGGCATCCGGAGGTCCTCGGGCTGGCCCCCAATGCCTGCAGGTCCTTGGTGAGAAGTTGCTCTCAGGAGTTGAACAGGAGGCATTTGCATGTGCTAGAAGCTGCCTTCCCCTTCAGATTGAAATTGGTTAGGACAGAGAACCGTGTCTAAGCTAACCAAGTGGAACAGAATTCCCCATGGTAAAATTAAGTGATCTCTTTATTTCACCATCCTGATTGAATAATCCTATCATTTTAAATAGAGAAGGTCTCCAAGGAATGTAAATAATATGAATGCCCACGGATTTGTATTTACTGAGCGTCTCCTTCTCCTTCTCTTGGCATATAAAACACAGCCAGAAGCTGCAAGGTTAGCTCAAATGTTAACGCTATCAATTTTCTTCTGTAAAATGACCTGGAAAAAAAAGGGGGCCAGCCATGCAGGCACTTTAACTTGATCGGTTGGGGGCTGCAGAATTTAATGGAAATTAACAAATAATGTGTCGTTTCCTTCTCTCTGTGTAGCGCACTGTCCAGAAAAACGCGAAATACGTGTGCTTAGCAAATAAAAACTGCCCGGTGGACAAACGCCGCCGAAATCGCTGTCAGTATTGTCGGTTTCAAAAGTGCCTTGCAGTTGGCATGGTCAAAGAAGGTAGGTCTTCGCCCCCCTCCCTTCCTCTCCGCTCCCCCTCCCCCCATATACTTTCCGTTCCCTCTCCGCCCACCCCCACCCCACAATGTCTTTGTGTCAGGCCTCAGCTGGGAGAATGAGCTCTAAGTCCCCGCGAGCCAGGCAGATTATATTTCAATAGTAGAATCCCCTTGGAATAAGAAAGAAATTAAACTAAAGCAGCCTTGGCCGTGCATACACACCCGGTCTAGGTCCCTTTGGCGGAGAGGGGGGCTGTGCGTGTCTCTGGTGCACCAGGCGGGGGGAAGGATCACTGACCAGCCTTTTCTTCCGCAGTGGTTCGCACAGACAGTTTAAAAGGCCGAAGGGGTCGCTTGCCATCCAAACCGAAGAGCCCCCAGGAGCCCTCTCCCCCTTCTCCCCCGGTGAGTCTGATCAGTGCCCTGGTGAGAGCCCATGTCGACTCCAACCCGGCTATGAGCAGCCTGGACTATTCCAGGGTAAGCTGGAGACAATATTAACATACAGACCTAGCTGCAAACACCCGCACACGTATACACACACGCGCACACACACGCCCGTAGGCAGAGAGACTGACTAGTTACCAGCCCCCTTTCACTCGCACGGCAGAGATCGGTCCCATTTGTTCCACCGAGTTTCGGGACTCTCGTGACACACTCAAGCACTTGTGCATACTCCGAGCACAGGCTTTTCAGTGTCTACACACCCTGCGTGCTGGGTGCCTGTGCCCCGTGCCCTGGGCAGTGATGCTGTGGCAAACTGGACTGGGAGCGAGGGAGAAGTTAGCTTAGCAAGAACAGTCTGCGTTATTCCAGCTGCGGGGAAATATAGGCACTAATGGAAGAGAAATTTGTTAACATATATAAAATGTAATTTTGATTAAGGGGTTACCAGGCTTTTCAGGAGGCCAGCATCGGGACTGGCATGAATACTAACTTGTTAATTGTGTTGTGGAGATAAGAGGGAACGCTTCTCAGTGCAGGATGGCCCTCTCTTTAGTCTCTATAGAAATGGCAATTTACATATTCAAAGCAGCGACCTCATAGCACCATCCCTAATTGAATTAATTGCCCTGGAACATCTAATTTCCTTACTGGTCAGAGAGAGGTTTAATTGTTATAAAAACCTGGCTCCCCTACTAGAAATGGGGTTAGCAATTTCACGGGTTATATATTTTAGAGAACCTCATTAAGTGCTTTTTAAAATGAAATTCCAGTTCCAAGCGAACCCTGACTACCAGATGAATGGAGATGACACTCAGCATATCCAGCAGTTTTATGATCTCTTGACCGGCTCCATGGAGATCATCCGAGGGTGGGCAGAAAAAATCCCTGGTTTCACTGACCTCCCTAAACCAGACCAGGACCTCCTCTTCGAATCCGCTTTCTTGGAACTGTTTGTGCTCCGGCTAGCATACAGGTAAATGGCCAATATTCAAAAGGCAACTTCTGGATTATTATGAAATCAAACCCTTTCATGGCCCACTGATCTGCGTTTTATTAACTCCTGGGTAATTAGGTGCCTCTTAAATCCTCCATTTATTGCTCTTCACGTAATTAGTTGTTTAGCTTATCTTTTCCCCCCTTTTCTCTTTCTCGCCTCCCCTCTACCCCCTGTTGTATTAATTGCAGGTCCAGCCCAGTGGAGGGCAAGCTTATCTTTTGCAATGGGGTGGTCCTACACAGGTTGCAATGTGTCCGGGGCTTTGGAGAATGGATTGATTCCATTGTCGAATTCTCCTCCAACTTGCAAAATATGAACATTGACATATCTGCCTTCTCCTGCATCGCTGCTCTGGCTATGGTAACAGGTCAGTACAGCTCTACCTTCTTGTGTTTGGTGTTTCGACATCACTCCATCTCTCACTTGCCCTGTTCTGGTCTTCCATGGTCAATCATATGATGTCTTGCATCCTTGTCTTTTGCAGAGAGGCATGGGCTAAAGGAACCCAAGAGGGTGGAAGAACTTCAGAACAAGATTGTAAATTGTCTCAAAGATCATGTGACTTTCAACAATGGAGGTTTGAATCGCCCCAATTATTTGTCCAAACTCTTAGGGAAACTCCCTGAACTTCGTACCCTTTGCACGCAGGGGCTGCAACGCATTTTCTACCTGAAACTAGAAGATTTGGTGCCACCTCCAGCAATAATCGACAAACTTTTCTTGGACACATTACCTTTTTAAGACTCTTCCCATGCACTTGAAGTGAACTTTAAAGAAAATAAACTCTATCTGTCTGAAGGGGAATTCACCTGTGCGCAAAGTAGCACCTTTGAGTGCCACATTCCCATCCCCAAAACTGTTGCTAACCTCCTGAAGACAGAAAGTGAATGGGCATTTTGTCTCTGGAGCATCAAGGATTCAGATGATGGACAACTTAAATACCATGGTATAAGCTTTTTATTATCGGCTCAAAATATTATTAAGAAGGACTTCTGATTAAAAAGACGATCATATTTTGCAACGCTGGGCTAAGACTCATATGATGACAAAGAATTAAGGTGACCCACAAGTCTCACCCTCTTAAAGACTAAAGTTTTCTGATGTAGAAGAAAGCTGTAATATATAGTAAAAACTAAATGTTTCGTGGGTGGCATGAAATTTAAAGAAGGCAAAGGCTTGTAAATTTATCAGATGCAGTTTGGCTTTTTAAATTATTCTGTGCCTATTTATGAATAAATATTAAAATCAATTCTAAAAAAGATAGATGTGTTCGCAAAACAAAAGAGAATTAAGTAACTCAATGAAAAGGGAAAGCATGATGATTCTAGGAAGACAATGTTATAGGCACTTGCTAATTCAGTAATGTCTATATTCTATAAATAGTATTTCAGACACTATGTAGTCTGTTAGATTTTATAAAGATTGGTAGTTATCTAAGCTTCAAACATTTCTCAATTGTAAAATAGGTGGGCACAAGTATTACAAAACCGAAATCTTGGACAATGGGGCATATAGTGTTTGTAAACACCGTCCAACATTCCTTGTTTGTAAGTGTTGTATGTACTGTTGATGTTGATTAAAAAAAGTTTATATCTCGATTATTTTGTTGTCTAAAGCTAAACAAATTTTGCATGCAGCAGCTTTTGACTGTTTCCAGAGTGCTTATAATATACATAACTCCCTGGAAATTACTGAGCACTTTGAAATTTTTGTTTTGTTTTTTATGTCTAAAATTGTCAGTTAATATATTTTATGTTTGAGTAATATTTTGAATATTGCCATATCCTGTAGTATTTTTCTTTGTATATTTCCAGTATGGCACATTCTACAAGTCACTGCCTTTTTTTCTATGGTGTATGACAGTTAGAGACGCTGACTTTTTTTTCCCCTGAAACTCTTTCTTTGAGAGAGACAATTTTAATGTTTACAACAATAAAACCATGTAAACGAATAAAATTTCGTCTTTCTGTCTAAGCGAGAAGTACCAATACCAAAATCCATTGCAGATAAAGAAAAGTGACTGTGACGATGTAGTAATAAAAATGAAAAGGAGAACGGATGAGCTGTGTCACTTATTTAGTTGTTTGTGGAGCAGAATTTGCAGACTCTGAAGGAGGAACAAGAAGAACATCTAAGTCTAAAAGGTTGGTCCACATTTTATTCTTAGGAGGTCCCTGACCTTGCACAGAATTGAAGCACTACTTTTAATGTCATTTAATTCCTCCTATATATTGTTTTTATAAAATCAAGGAACCTTTAAGGACTCTGATTTTCCAGATCCTGTACTGTAGCTCTTGAGGTCTGTTTGGGATAGGGAAAAAAGTAAAGGGCACAGAGAGCTGGTGACTGTCCCACGGACGTGGTTTTCTGAAGTCAGTTTTTAAAAAAGCGTTTACATGTTGTGCCCGTGAAATGTTTGCATTTTCATTGTAGGCATCAATTCTAAGACTGGCTTAGAATACTTCAGAGTTCTCTTTGAAGAAAAGTTTTAGAGGGGTAGCCTTGCTAGTCTGTTTCAGCTAAAACGACAGGAGTCCTGTGGCACCTTAAAATCTAACACTTTTACTAAAGTTTATTCCCAAATAAATGTGTTAGTCTGTAAAGTGCCACAGGACTCCTCCTTGGTTTTTTCCCTTGAAGAAAGTATCTGAATAAATAAGACAGAAATTGTCTGTTTTGAATCCGACTTGTTATGATGTAGTCTCATATCTATAGACTTTTAAAGTTTAAAGAGGGTGAAAGCTAGAAAAGCTAATTTAATTGTTTTATAGTGACCCCACGCGTCTTATATTTCAATGTGATACTGAGAAATAGGTCTGTTTCATAGCTTTGAATAGTGCAATTTTAATTCAGAAACAAAACGTGGATTTGAGAAATTGTGGAACAGTATAATGTATTTAAATGTGGTTATATGAATGATTATCGCTAACATATACTTAGGGGGTAACGTTTATAGTAAAAGTAAAGCATTGGTATAATACGTGGAGATTTATCCCAGAGAATATTCTCAGGGCTAGTTTCAATCTGTTTTGAATATGCTGTCTGCAAAGCACAATAAAGAACCTGGACGGGCAGATGAGAAGAAAGAGATAAGCCCAGTTTTCCGGGTTTCTAGAAAAGGGGATTTGGGAGTGAGAGGTTCTCAGAGTCCAGGCTCGTATGAGGAAAAAACCCGAGTTACAGCTAACAACCCCGATTACATAAGGACATCCGCCGAGCCTCAGGGGTTAGAGAACTGGATACAAAAGAATGAGAGGGCGAGAGATAAAGCAGGGGAAGTGGAAGTGTGTAGTTCAAACCCACTCTATCAAATTGTGCGGCTCCAGTGTGCGTAGGTATCATCAGCTAGTTAGTTCAGTTCGTACCAATCCAGGCTAATAGTGCACCAGCTGGTACCTTAAGAGGACGTGCCGTACCGCACACAACCCCGGTGTCACTGAACCGTCCCCCGGGGTGTACGGCCGAGACGCCCCGGGATCTTCCCTGTCTTTCTGCAAACACAGACTCGCCGACTTCCTCCCACAGGCTGCGCTTGAGCTAAGGAGGGCTAAGCCACTCCAGCGCGGAGAAGGAACCAGTCCTGAGCCCAGCTTGTCTGCTGTTTGTGGCTAAAGGGAGCAGGAGCGGGGTTTTTCTGCGGTAAAATCTGCTCTCGAAGTATCGGACCTTTTCTCAATGGCGGGGATGTAAAATCTTCCTCGTGTCCATTCCTCGGGCGTGCCCCAGCGATTTAGGGCCAGGGATCTTTGAGCAGAAAGCGGATCAAACTTCTTAAGTTACCGCCCTGACCGATTCCTTAAGCAGAGACAAGGCGAGGGACCACAAGGCAGGGTCCCTACCACAGTGTCACGAAGCCCTCAAATCCAAGCCGGGGTGGAGGACATTGGAAACTTTCCGCGGCAGTTTTTACGTCGGGGATATTTTTACTGTTTATCCCCAAATGCCCCGAAATAAACGCGTAGACTATCCCTCCACGGGCCAAATTTGGTTCTCGTGATGAAGTTACTGCGGTTGTACCCAGGTATACCTGTGATTATAACGGAGTTACTCCGGCTTGCCCCAGATGTGCATGACAGAAAAATATGTTTCACAGATTACTATTCTCATCGTAAATGTACAGATTATGCTGGATACACGTCCACAGAAGGACAATAATACGAATTTATGGAGAGACCTATTGTTTAATCAACTTGGAAACTCAAGTTATTTTTATTTCCTGATGTTGACAGTCTCGCTTGGCATCTCCCAACTGATTTCTACCGTTTCGTGCGTTTCTTCTGAATTTCTTTACTTTTGTCATTCTCAGGCAAAACCGCGAATTTGCTTATTGCAGCGGCTTACAATGTAAAGATGTTGTTACGTAAAGAACCACGTTCATATTTAGTTACGGATTCGTGTCGGTCTGAAAGCGAGGGCACAGGAATGCAACTTGTTTTTACAAGTGATGGAAGAATTCACTTGTCCCTCTGTGACTTGTTTTCTTAGTTGCTGAACATAAATAGTTCAGCCTTCCTTTTTATGCGTCTTCTGCACATCAGCGAAGGACAATACAAAGAAGCTACAGGGAAGAAATACATTGTCCTATGAACTCTTAATGTACACTTTATGTAAATACCTCTAAAAAGAGAGGCTACTCAGCGTCACAATATAGAGCGCTGTGCAGGCAATTAACAATGTACCGGAAGAACTTTCTGTTTTCCCTGTTCTGATGGATTTCATGTTTCCAAGGAAGTTCTTTGAACTAAAGAAAAATCTCTAGTTAGCCCAAATATGCAGAGACTCTTTCACAGTGGCCTTCCGTTTTTCACATAATTCTCATCCACACACACCCCTTAATCCAGAGTTTATCTGCTACCTCTCTGTCATGGAGCCTGCTTAGCTAAAACCCTGTGAAACAAGGCCTAGCCTCTTCGGGAAGGTTGCATACCTGATCACTTTTGGAGGTCAATAGGTGCAAAATATTGCCCCAAGAAGATAAACGGACAATATTTTGCAGCTTTTAAATTGATGTAACATTATCTGTTGCATTTCATGTGTGCATTAATCTGAAATTATATAACCTAGCTATAGCTGAAATGCTTCCAATTCTGTACACAGCAAACACTCCTATTGTGTCAGAGCAGTTGATCCTAAACTCTGACGGGACAGTCCATTGTCACCATCAGCACAGGGGTGTTGTATGTAATTAAAGGATACACAACAAGCGCTAACTGTTAATCAAGGCCTAATGTGCTTCTTGCCTAACAACCTAACAAATAATACCAGGTGCAATAATGTCAGGGATGTGTTATTTGTTTTACTATATAATTTACTTTTTTGGTTCTCTCTGTGCCTTTTAAAGAAATCGGGTCAACACCTTTGCACCTATTGGTGGTGATTGGCACACTGTAAACGTCCTTCTGTGGTAGCCACTTTAAGTGCATGATTTGGTCTTAGTTCTATAATCATGATTTGCCAATCATTTAGATACAAAATTAAAATAAACAATCAAAGATG